ATGAGTGACAAAATAGCTTAACCAACTTTGTAGTGAAAAAATCAGCTCATCATCATGTTCTGATTCAAGAACTGCCAAGTAAGAGGAAATACTTATCTGTTGGCAGTTTTACTATTGTGTGATCTGAAGTTCTTTTTTACATGTTGAAACTCCTTAGATAAATATTATATTGATAATTTCAGAATTTGGGAGAAAGAAGGCATTAAATTTTTAGTATCTTTATTTCACAGGCATTGAGAATGACGTAGATTATTTAATATGAAATTTTTCTTATTTCTTAGATTACACGTCGATTAGCAGTTTGCAATATGGACTGGGATAGATTAAAGGCAAAAGATTTGCTGGCTCTGTTCAATTCATTTAAACCTAAAGGAGGTGTTATATTTTCTGTAAAGGTGAGAATTGATTTTATTTTGAAGTAAATATTTCTAAGCGTTTTAAGTTGTTTCTATTTTTTTAAGTAAAGTTTTCCTTTTAATACAGTTACCTCAGAATTGTTAAATACAATTTGGCATGAAACTGATATAACAAGTATAATAAAAGTTAGAAAGGAAGAGGTAAATCATTATTGATGGGTTATATGATTGCATGTAATTTAAAAAATCAAATCAATAGAGAAGCTATCATAAACTCAGATGTGTTTTCTCATCTAAGTAGATATAACATACTACTACCTAGTGTAGTTGTAAGGACTGAATGAAAAGGATCTCATGCTACATATTTAGTACAGTGCCTGAAGCAGCTCTAAATAATTATTATGTTTAACTGTTTAAGCTGTTCTGCAGTTTTAGTGTAGTTACAATCAAAATCTCAGTTCAAGTAAAAGTTAAGAAAAAGGCCCTGGCCGGTTTGGCTCAGCGGTTAGAGTGTCGGCTGCGGAGAGACCCCGGTTCGGTTCCCGCTAAGGGCGTGTACCTTGGTTGCAGTTTGTCCCCGGCCCTGGTTGGTCGTGCGGGTGGCAGCCACTCGATGTGTCCCTTTCACGTCAATGTTTCTCTCTCTCTCTCTCTCTCTCTTTCTCTCTCTCTCCCTTCCTCCCTCCCACTCTTTCTGAACAAAACATGGAAAAATGTCCTCCGGTGAGGGTAAAAAAAAAAAAAAAAGTTAAAAAGGATGCCAGTATCATGTAAAAGAATAAACAAGTAAGGATGACTAATACATTTTTGAGAAATCATACCAATATAAAAGGACCCTACCAGTCATAATGTCTAAACAATTTATAATGCTATGAGAATTAACAGGTTTGGGTAAAAATAAGAGGACAAATTAATGGAATGCAGTAGATAAAGAAAGGAGTTTAGTTAATGAGTTAGGTCATAGTATTGGGACAAGTCTTTGCATAAAGAACTTAGTTCACATCCCCACCTCAGAAGAGCCCAAAATAAACTCCAGATGAAGTAAAGGAAAACATTTAAAAACCAAACCACAGAAATAGAATTGTGTTTTTGTTAAATCTTGTGTTTCAGGAGATTGGTAGAAATTTCTAGACAGAAAAGAGCAAAGAAAAGCACAAAGAAAGAATCAACAGATGTGATTTCACATATATTATTAAATCCTATTATATGCAACTCAAAGTAGTAAGAAAAACTCATCCCCAGTTGACAAATTGTGTACTTTACACAATTCCAAAAAATATGTATTAGTTCAGTGTATGGTAAACACAGTAGTGTCAAGACAATGCAAATTAATATAATTATATTTCTTGACTCAAAAATAGCCAAGATATAAAATCCTTGTAAGGGTGAATCCTTTTTCTTTTTTTTTAGTTTTTACATTAATTTTTTTTTTTTTAATTTTTTATTTATTTTTTTGTTACAGATATTTCACCTTTTTTACCCCATTGGCACCCCCCTCACCACCCCACCCCCGCCCCGTCCCCGGCTTAGTTGTCCATGTCCATTGGTCATGCATACATGCATATCAGTTCTGTGGTTTATATCTTCCCACCCCCCCACCCCCTCTTCTGAGGGATGTCAGTCTGTGCCCTACTTCCATGTTTCTGGGTCCACCGTATTCCTCAGACTGTTATGTTCATTATATTCCGTATATAAGTGAGATCATGTGGTATTTGTCTTTTTCTGCTTGGCTTCTCTCACTTAGGATAATATTTTCCAGGTCCCTCCATGTCGTCTCAAAGGATAAGAGATCTTTCTTTCTTACCGCTGCATAGTACTCCATTGTGTATATGTACCACAGCTTTTTTATCCATTCGTCTACTGATGGACACTTGGGCTGTTTCCAGCTCTTAGCTATTGTAAATAGTGCTGCTATGAACATGGGGGTACATATATTCTTCCTGATTGGTGTTTCAGGCTTCTTAGGGTATATTCCTAGAAGTGGGATCACTGGGTCAAATGGAAGTTCAATTTTTAATTTTTTGCGGTAGCACCATATTGTTTTCCATAGCGGCTGCACCAGTCTGCATTCCCACCAGCAGTGTATTAGAGTCCCCTTTTCTCCACACCCTCGCCAACACTTGTTGTTTGATGATTTGTTGATGGTGGCCATTCTGACAGGTGTGAGGTGATACCTCATTGTTGTTTTAATTTGCATCTCTCTGATGATTAGTGATGTTGAGCATTTCTTCATATGTCTCTTGGCCATTTGTATGTCCTGTTTGGAGAGGTGTCTATTTTGTTCCTCTGCCCATTTTTTAATTGGGTTCTTTGTCTTACTTTTGTTGAGTTGTATGAGCTGAATCCTTTTTCTTATACCAAGAAATAAAATGATAAATCTACATGATAAAATTGTTATGAGTTCCTTTCTATTAAAAGGAATAGCTGTAAAGAAAACATTGGATAAATGATAGGACTTTGAGATAAGGTGGGTATTATAAAATTGTGTTTCTTTATGTTTTATATATTCCTTTAATCGTGTTTTGTAAGTTTTATGTAAACTAGTTAATCCAGTTATTTTTCTTTCGTGTGTTTACATTGAGTTCCTTGAGTATAGAATCGTGTTTTGCTTTTCTTAATTTTTCCCTTGGAGACCTGAGCAATCTTGTCCTATTTGATGAAGGAGATGTTCTATTTTTGTTCCCAAGCCCCACAGCTGTTACTCTCCAGCCAAAATGACTATTTTTAAGGAGATTCCTCAGGATGCTTTAGCTTCCTATAGTGAGTTTGAAAGTAAGTCATCCTTGCTGTTTTCATTGAGTCCAGTTGTAAATTAGAGCTACTGACCTTGACAGGTCTGGATGTAGAAAGAAAAGGAATATATAAATTGCATTGATTTTACTTTTTTTGTGTTTAGATATATTTTTCGGAGTTTGGAAAGGAGAGGATGAAAGAAGAGCAAGTTCAAGGACCAGTAGAGTTATTAAGTATTCCTGAAGATGCCCCTGAAAAAGATTGGTATTAAATCACTATAGATAATAAAACTAAACTTTATATAAGTTCATGTCACTAATTCAGAATTCTGGTCACTTTAAAAGTTAGGGTTAAGGTTTATACGTGCCAATGATATTTTGTGTGTGTATTTCTATTTCTGTATTCATTAAAATAATCATTGCTTTTTTTTTGGGATGTATTTTTCCACATAAGTGGCATTGAAACTCTGCCTTCAAATTATGTAATTTTTCTGGTTTGAGTATTAAATACAAAAATAAAAGATTGATAACTTGGTCACAGTAATGTAATACAGAAAAAGAATTAAGGTAGTTTTTGAACCACTAGGTGGAGCTATATGTGCACTTAATAAAAATGTTGGTTAAATATTTTTGGTGGCAGAAGAGAGCGTGTGAAGACCCTCAAAGAATGTGTTGTAGTTAAGTGAAATTAAACTTATAACCATTTAGACTTGATAACACATAATTTCTTTATAACTAGAGCTAATGTTTCCTACTATATTTTATAGTACAGTGTTTGTCCATCAGTTTGACTTGAGAAGGGTATATGTTGTACCAAAACAAACAAAAAGTAACTTCTAAGAACTAAAATATTTGGTAAGCACTTATTTTTTAAAAAATATTTTTGTATTGATATTTTAGAGAGAGAGGAAGGGAAGGAGAGAGAGATCCAAACATCAGTGAGAGAAAACATTGATTGGCTGCCTACTGTATGCCCACCACTGGGAATTTGGCCCACAGCCTGGGCATGTTCCCTGACCGTGAATCGAACCTACAACCTCTTGGTGCATGGGTCGACACTCAACCACTTAGCCACACCGGCCAGGCAGCACTTGTAATTCTTATACTCTCCTTTTCTAGATACCAAATTCTAAACAAAATACCTGCTTTGTACCTTGTCAGTGAATTGAACTTGTGTTTAATGTTTATAAAGGCAAAGTCATGAAGGAAGGATGGATTGGTATGAAGGTTGTAATATATTTTTCTTGAGACAGTTGCATTTATTTTTTAAAGGGAGATACATATTTGTGTTCCTATATAAGTAAGCTTAATGAATTTTTCCCTTTTTAGGACCTCTAGAGAAAAATTGAGAGATTATCAATTCAAACGGCTGAAATACTGTTATGCAGTAGTAGACTGTGATTCTCCTGAAACAGCTGCTAAACTTTATGAGGATTGTGATGGCCTGGAATTCGAAAGTAGTTGTTCATTCGTAGATCTAAGGTAATCCACAGTGTGTCTTACCAATTTAATCTTGTAGTAAATGTGATTGTAAGAAGTAAAATATTGGAATTGGTAGTGCTCTGTGTTGTTTCATATTCTAAGAGATGAGTTTTTGCTTTTGGATCTACTCTGTCCTATATCACTCTTAAGAAAGAAAACTGGAATGAGAAAATGCTGAAGTATTTTGTATGAGCCACCCCACATTTTTATCCTTTAAAATATGTTGGCTATGTGTTTAGAATGATGGGTTTTATGTAATGATACTTCTTTGCAACTGCCTTTTCGAACTAGGAACCAGATGAATTACTTTTAATAGCATTGAAGTGGGGGCAAAATAATTTTAAACTAGTACCTTTATAGCTGTGCTGTTCAGTACGGTAGCCACTAATCACATCTGACGATATATGTTTATTTAATTAAAAATTTAAAAATGCTTACCTGGCAGGGGAGATACCATGATTGTGAGGGTGGTTTTCCCAAGGCAAAGTTTATTCATTGCACTCCAGATGTGCTGACCCATCGATTTTCCCAAATGTGTGGAAACTCAACTGCATAATTTGTGGGTGTGGGAGACTGAAAAAAAAAAATTTTTTTTAACTTAAAATGTATTTGCCTAGACACAGAACATTGCCATCATAGGAAGTTCTATCTGACAACACTGCTCTCTCTAAGTGATGCTTGGTGAATGAATGGATGGAATTGCTGGCATTGTCTTTAGTTGTTTTCACCAAGTACTCAGACTTCACTGACCAAGAGCTTAAAAACCTTAGATGGCTGTGAATGTCAGTTCTAAGGAAATGGGAAACTGAACTACTATAACATTTTATCATTAGCCTAATCATTTGGAACCCAGTAAACCATTCTACTGTGACACTTTTCAATAGGAACCACTTCTTTGTATGCAGGTTTATTAGAGGCTTTGTTCTCAAAATGAAATGTTTTAGGGGGGAAAAAATGCATCAATTCATAGTCAATATGGCTTTCATATTTTAAAGGCATTCCAACTGGTAGAAAAGTACAATAAAATTTTTGGAATTGATATTTTGGGGTGAGATTTTAGCATGCTTAAGTATATTAGCAAAAAGGGCATATCTCACAAGGCAAGCTACTATTTCCTTCTCTTTTTTGTTAAGAATGTCAATAGGAGGTGCTTGTTTTGAATGTTTAAATGTAGTTACCAAATGTTTGTTAGAATGTCAAACTCTGGGTATAATAAATTCATGTCAGCATGTTTTTTTCAGGATTGTTCTTTCTGTTTCCTGTTTGGGACATTTCCATGCACTGCTAGAATAATCTCTGGCAGTGCCTAGAAAATCAAATCACTGACCATAGAAAAGCTTTACATTCACTGTTTTATTTTGTCATTTATAAAAGAAAATAAATTTTTCTGCTGCCATCCTGTTATCTTGGGAAGACTTTCTTCAACTGCCCCAAAATATAAAAAAATGCATATTAGTAACAGTTAAAAATATTAGTCTCAAAACAAATTGTTTTTTTCCTACTAAGTGTGTTGGTAGAGGATTTTGTGTAGATGTAATGAACCTCAATTATCCATTCCTACTCCTAAAAAATTATTTTTGATGGAATATACAGGATATGCTTTTCTTGTGGAATTAATATCTCCTATAAAATTACAAAAGCTAAATACAGTAACCATGGATTATATAACTGCTTCCCCCACATCCCCAATTCCTTAGCCTATTGCCTAAGAATTGTCTAACAATTATAACGGTTAATTTACATGTAACAGCTTTCTATTTTGGGGGAAAAAATTATAAGATAAGATTGTTAGGGTTTTTTAGTCTTGAAGAATCAACCTTAAGCTTTTCCTTATTTTCAGTGACACCTCATGTATATGATACTTTATATTCAGAACACTTAACCATTATTAATTCTATTTGATCTTCAGAATATTATATAGCAAGCCAATGACTGTGCTATCAGGAGTCTAGGTCTTTTTGAAACATGAGGGACCCATGTGTGTTTGCACCTGACTCATATTAGCTGACTCCTAATGCAAGGTTTCTACCTACATGGAGTTCACTTAAATTTAATGGAATTACAGATTTATAGCTTACGAATTTCAGAAGCTTTGTGCCAAGGTTATTTCTAACGTTGTGTGCCTCATCTACATGTGTGTTCTGTAGAAACTTTTATATGGTATGTATGTATAAACTACAACTAATTAGAAGAGAATCTAAACTCTGGTTGTTTATTACTGCAACATATGTTTAAATACATTTTTTTTTTCATGTTTCTTAGGTTTATACCAGATGATATTACTTTTGATGATGAGCCCAAGGATGTAGCCTCAGAAGTGGATTTAACAGCATATAAACCAAAATATTTCACATCTGCTGCAATGGGAACATCAACGGTATTTCTTAACTTTTAAAAATGTGTAGCTGGACTCTGTTGTTTTAAGAAAAAGACTGTATACTATTTACTATTGCATCTTTAGAGATGGACAGTATTCAAAATTTTAATGCATAAGTACAAATAGAAATGATACATGAATGTATTTGCATTTTTATCTACCTCTCTGTCTGAACCTATTTATAGACTTTTGTTATGCTTTTAAGTCTGAGTCAACTACCTGAGAGTGTTTCTTTTCTTCTCCTCTATCTTTCCCATACAGTCTTAATCAACTAGATACTTTAAAAGTAATATGTTAGTTACTAATATCTTAGGGAGTAGTGGGAAGATTATCTCAAATTCCAGTTAAAACAAAACTAGTGGAAATTTAAAATAGGAACACATTTTTACCACAGATATAATCCAAAAGTGTAAAAACAGTTGAAGAAGAATAATTTAGGACTGCTTGATGTCATATTAATGCTTAATAATGCACAGCCAAAAGATTTCTGTTGAATTTGTTTATTGTTTTGCTACATGCCTTTTCTCCACTGCCACCCCACTCCCACCCCATTAACTTTCTATCTACAGCTGGACTCTGTGGCAGCCATACAGGCTTCCACTGTGTTTCTTTTAAAAAACCACCATGATCTTCTGAAGACAGGCTGGTGGCAGAGAGAGGGGCTCCTGTATTTGCCACATTGCATGCTGTGGTGGGCACTGTGCAGCCTTGACTAGTAAAACCCCACTATTATGTATAAATGAAGTCGAAAAAATTCAGTCACATAAAATGTAGAATCATGTTATTTTTGAGACTAAAAAGTAACTAGGGCAAGCCTGTCCAGCCAGCCAGTCTGAAGTTCCTGGGGTCTGGCTATATTATCCATATCTGTCCCAGTTCCAGCAGTGATTTTGTAGTCATCAGCTCAAGCTTAATTATCAGAATAGGGATAATTCTTATTCTTGTGACTAGTTAGAACCAAGATAATGGCAGCTATTTTAAGGATCAGATTCCTTGGTTAGTTAGTGCCCATTTCGTTGTCCTGATCTCTGGAGATTAGCCTGAAAAAGAAAATAAGGATATAGGACCTACCCTGTGATAAAGATAAAACCTCTAGCCTGGCCAGTGTGGATCAGTGGTTGAGCATCAACCCATGCACCAAGAGGTCACTTGTTCAATTCCCAATCAGGGCACATGCCCAGGTTGTGGGCCAAATCCCCACTGGGGGGCATGCAGGAGGCGGCCAATCAATGTTCCCTCTCATCGATGTTTATATCTCTTTCTCCCTACTTCTCTAAAATCAATGAAGGAAAAAAAATTTAATTAATAAAAAGATAAAACCTCTAATAGGACCCTTTCTGGGAATGGGGGCTGTGTAGAGGACAGGAGCCAGTCAACAGACCCATCATGTTATAGATGAGTTGCTGTATTATGGGAGTTTACTATACTTCCAATCAAAGGATGCCTTTCTACAGTGTCTCTTAATTTGTAATAATGCTCACTTTTTCACTACTATGTTTTTAAAATTTCTTTCCACTACAATTAATCCAAACACTGATGAATTTTTACTCCCAATAATGAAGTACCTTAAATATATCAGAGAGCTAGGAGGTGGAAGATACAGGTTAATTGAAATGGTTCTGTTTCTACAAATGGGATACTTTTTACTGAGTATGTCATTTATTATTTGTTTTACCTTATCTTAACTTTTTTAGCTTCCTGGTAAACGTCTAAGTTAATGATAAATATTATTTTTTATATTTAAAAAATATAAAAGAGAGAGAGAGACATCATTTTCTTATTCCACTTATTTATGCATTCATTGGTTGCTTCTTGTATGTGCCCTGACCAGGGATAGAACCCACAGTCTTGGCTTAATCAGGACAGTGTTCTAACCAACTGAGCTATTTGGTTAGGGCAGTGATAAATATTCTTTAACAAGTTTGGATAGCTGACATTTTCATTTTTATTTGTTATTTTTCTTTTTCATTAATGAAAGGTTGAGATCACTTGGGATGAGACTGATCATGAAAGAATTACAACACTCAACAGGAAATTTAAAAAGGAAGAGCTTTTGGACATGGATTTTCAAGCCTATTTAGCTTCCTCCAGTGAAGATGAAGAGGAAATAGATGATGAGCTACAAGGTACTTGTTAATCTGATGTATTGCATTTGTAAGCATGTAGATGCCTAATCTAGACTTGTTAATGGAAATATATTTTTGGCAGTAGCTTAAAATGGAGTACCAAAGAAATTCTTAAACTGTCTGCAAAGCATACTCACAAGTATACCTTATATTGTACTCAAAAGTTCTATTTAAAAGTATTTTGTTTGAGCCCTGGCTGATTTGGCTCAGTGGTTAGAGTGTCAGACTGCGGACCAAAGAGTCTTGGGTTTGATTCCGGTTAAGGGGGCATGTACCTTGGTTGTGGTTCATCCCTGGCCCTGGTCAGGGTCGTGCTAGAGGCATCCAGGTGATGTGTCTCTCTCACATCGATGTTTCTCTCTCTTTTCCTCTCTCTCTCCCTCTCTCCCACTCTATCTGAAGACAAATAGAAAAATATCCTTGGGTGAGGATTTTTTAAAAAAGGGAATTGCGTCAAATTTTTTATCCATAAACATTTCCTTTAAAACTTGGACCTATCCAGCCCAGCTGGTGTGGCTCAGTGGTTGAGTATCAACCCTGCACCAAGAGGTCGCCAGTTCAATTCCTGGTCAGGGCACATGCCCAGGTTGTGGGCCACATCCCTTTTGGGGGACATGCAGGAGGCGGCCAGTCAGTGTTCTCTCTCATCGATACTTCTCTCTCTCTCTCTCCCTCTCCCTTCCTCTCTCTCTAAAAATATCAATAAAGAAAAAAAATCTTTTTAAACAAAAAACTTTGACCTAGCCAAAATAGCCTGGTTTATAGACTTGTCATGGTTCACATAGTTATACAATCTCTTAATAAACTAGTAAAATGCTTTACTGTCCTCTCCCTTTTTTCTTAAACTAAGAGCTTCTTTTAGTTTGATTGAATATTTTTTAGATTCTATTTTCTCCTCAAATGGTTTAGAAAGTAGACTCTGTTTATTTTGCGATTGTCCTAGAAATAATGACTTATGTGCTTAATTTAGAAGTTTGATGGTAATTAATATTTTTACTGTCCTATATAATACAGGAAATCTTAACACAACTTTCATGGTATCCTGTGTATTGTAATTCTTTTTTTTTTTTTCCAATTCCACAAAACATTAA